TGCAGTTGGGATCCTCACGGCTGATGCTGGTTGGGCTCTTGGAGGTGTATTTTCACCAGCGGTGGGCGCGAGCTGCTGAGAGGTAAGCTCTACATGACATGAGAAACCCCTGCAGTGCTGACAGCTTCAGTGGAACACTGCTGCTGCCCTTGCTCTTCCAGCAGTGCTTCCTGGTTTTGCCAGGCACACAGCCCAGCACCCAAACCTCAGTTACAGCGAGTCGTGACACCAGCCTGGTGCCCCAGTGTTCCTTTGGAATGGTTTAAGTTAAAAACCCCTTTCCTCAAGAGCTGCCCTACAGCAGAAGAGCAGGAGCTGGGTCTGTGGGGAGAGCTGGGATGACACCTTCACACTTCTACCTCTCTGCTCTGCAAAGCCTGGTACGAACAGGCGTTTGCCAGCGCTGGTTGCAGGGCCCGCTCCGCACTGTGAAGTTTCTGTTCGATTCAATAACTGAGCTTTATGTATATAAGTTGGGTTTTTTTAACTATTTTAAATGTAAGTTTAAGTGCATCCAAACCACCATCTCCTAGTTTGGTGCAGGTACCTTTCAAAAGCTTGTAACAGGGACAGAGTTGTCACTTACCTGTTGTCCAACACAGGGATGTTTTAAATGAGTGCTTCCTCAGAATAAACTGACACTTGCTGTTACCTGGGGGTGCCTGGTGGTGCTTTGTTGTTGTTTCCATGCGTTGGGGTTGCCGCAGCATGCGCTCTTAGGACAGCAGTCACATGCTCCCGGGACTGCAGAAACTGAAACTTGCCCAAAATTGGTATTTCTGCCTCTGTAACTGTGCTCCTGGCTCCCATGGGTAAGCATTTGGTCACAGTTCATTCTCTGGAGGCTTCGCAGCATCACTTCAGAAGCATATACCAGTGGTTTCACAGGCTTCCAAGCAGCTTGCTCTGTTAGTAGTGAGAGAACCACATGTAAAGCCTTGCAGCAGCAGGGTGAGGAGCTGTGCTCTTCCAGGCACATCCTGTCCCCCTCCACCGACTGCCTCTCCCCCAGCCCTCATCCCTCCTTTCCATCCAGACAGGCCTGGAACTCATCCTCAGTCCCACCTTCTCATCCACACAGTCACTGTGGACCTTCTCTGTGCAGCAACAAGGGGTCACACTGTACTGGGACTGAACAACACAACCCTGCTCTGGCTGTTTGTGCTGGGCACAGCCCTGGCCTGTCACACCATGAACAGTCTGGGTTCCAGCAGAGACAGGCACGCTCCTGTTGGGAAAAGCCTGTGGACCTTTTACCACTTAGAACACGAACACCATTGCCTCGTCCCCAGCTAAAGGAATCACATAGAATCCTGTAATGGCTTGTGTTGGAAGGGACCATAAAGCTTATCTAGTTCGAACCCTGCTGTCCTCAAGCCCCAGCTGCCTGTGCCCTGTATGGGACATCACCTCAGCCTGATACCCCACACCAAGGAACATCCCCACACCCTTCACATCACAGCCCAAGCAGAGGCAGGGGCCAGAGCAAATAACAGAGGCCAGGGCGGTTTATCTAGATACAGGTACTTTATTTACAAATATTTAGATTAATAGCATCGTTACATCAAATGAGGAGTACAGCAGTCCAAACAGCTCCTTTCTGTGACAGAAACAATGAGACCTACTGTAACTGGGAGGACAGGTATTGCACCTCAGCAAGCTGGAGTCATTACAACATTTACTTCACAGCAGCAGCAGGTCGTGGTCCCTGGGCAAACCCTTTGTGGTGCAGCCTCGATTGAAGCAGGATGTGAGCTGTAGAGCCTGAATATACCCAAATACTTAAGAATATTAGTTAAAAAAAGGACTAACCAGACAAAACAAAGGGACAGTGCACAAGTTACCCAAATCCTATTGTCTGCACATTCCAGTTTTGGCTTTGATTTAACATTGACTGTACAATACTCTGGTACCACAGTTTACTTACAAGTCTGAACATTGTAATTTTAGTGTCTAGGGAGGGATTTTAAGACTACTTTGTATTTCAAACCCTGTAGCAAGACTAAAATAGGACGTGTGACCATGGTTAAGCACAGGCCCCTGCCATTTTCAAACCACGTGTGGTGTTTCCCAAGTGCAGTTTCATGCGAGCTGCATGTACAGCCACAGTGAGCCCACGTGTAGCTCAGCAACACCCTCAGGTGCATGGTCACCGCCTGACATCTCCCTTTGGTAACAGCATTACAGGTCGTGTCACCCCGTGAAGGATGGACTCAAGGCTTGAGAAGCCCAAGTCTTACGGAAACCCTCACACGGGCCTGTTAAAAATACAACAGTAGTTCCAAATCCCCAGAGAGCACAGGCGCTGTTGACTGTCCAGTCCAGGCTCTGACCACTGGAAGAGTTACAGGTAGAGAAGCGCAGGATGTGCGAGAGAAGCCGCCTCAGCGCAGGGCACGAGGCAGGCGACAGCCCAGCAATGCAAAACGCTTTCCCAAGAGCGAAGCGGGTTTTAGCGCGCTGCTGATTGCACACGACGGGGTTAATAAACACCACAGTGCAAAGATGAGACACAGATCCCACTAGTGTTAATGTCTGCGTGGGGACTCGAGCTGCCCCGGCCGCGGGTGACACCAGGGAGTGAGGCCTGTGTTAGTGAGCGGCACTCAGCGCCAACGTGGTCACACACAGCTCGTACTGTACAAACGGGGGGTTTCTTACATACTGTTCTAATGCCAGTAATCATTTTTTCTTCATTAAAATCATATACACAAGATGTATTTAACTGTTAGCTCAGTTCCTTCAAATTTTATACATATTTACGTTCTGTTAACAAATGGGAAGGAGAAAAGTGGCAAAAAACCGACGTAAAGCTCCGAGCACGTGTCCCTGTGCACGCTGCGGCGCCAGCCTGCCCCGACCCCACACACACCACAGGGACATCCTCCAACAGAAGCACATTGTTACCCAGCCCCTCGCTACCATCGGAAGTCATTTCACAGCAAAAAACTCATCCTTTACTACAGACAGCTCTAAATGGTTAGAAGTGGGGGAGGAAGGCCAAAGAACCATCAAATTAAACCGTACAAGACAAAGCCCTGCGAGAGTGTGAAATCATGAGTCCAGCATCAGTGCTCGGTTTAAATTAGGTATCGGTGACACTATCACAAGGACAATCAAGGAAAAAAAAACTTCTAGATTTACCATGCAGGAGAGGTTTTATTACTCTACTTGCCTTTGATAACCTGATTACATCTAACGTTGTTTAGCAGTTTAGTACTGTGTTAAACTTGTCTCAAGAGTTTTAATTAAACCCAGTAAGATGTACAGAAGACAGGGCAGCAGTCAAAAGCACCGCTCCCGACAGACAGAGGTGAAGGGTCAGAAATGGAGCCGGGAAAGGGAGGTCACTAGCAGCCGCAGCCTTCTCTCTGGGGCTGGGGTTCACTGGTTAGCCGCCCGCCCTGCGGAGCCGATGGCTTGTGCTGTACACCTGATTCTGCAGCGTTCAGATCCAGGCTTCCGTCTTGGATGTTCTGGTAGATTTTCTTGGCAGCCTCCAGGAAGGCATCCTCGACGTTCTCTCCGCTATGAAGAGAGCAGCAGGAGTTACTCGGGCAGTGGAGGATGTGGAAGCAGTTGGCTACAGAGACCCTGATGGGACATGCCTGTCCCCTGGCATGCAAGAATAGCTTTTGGCACCTAAAGCAGATGCACCACCAAGTCTGACAACCCATCTTGGGACAGCCTTCAGTAGGCTGTCTAGGCTCCCTACCCATTAAACCTACTGGCACCAGCCAGGAGGAAGAAATACATTCCCAAACACCAAGAAGCAAAAATCAGCATCAAGCCACACATGCAGCTGTGTGGCTGCAAGCTCAGGACCCACTGTTAATCAAATCCCTTTCAAGGGTTCCATTCCAAGAGTGCCAGGTGGAACCACACTTACTGGTGTCACTGGAGACCCGATCACTGCACTCCAGCAGCTCCCCAGCCATCGCAGCCTGCCCCAAGTCCGGTGCAGTGTCTCCTCTCTGTGACCAAAGGGACTGGCTGCTCACTGTTGGGGACCACTTCTAGCCACACATACACATTCTACACCCAAATACTGTGTTAACATTTGGATTCAACAAGTCTTTGACCTGAACTGTAGTGAGGACGAATTCCCAAGTTACCTTCAAGTTGAATCGGGCATGATTGAAACTGCTTTACACATCTCATCCCTTAAGAGAACTCAAAACCAGTGGGTTTTTTGGTTTTGCACTTGTAAAACCCTACTATACCTTAACTATAGCTGTACTTAGTCATAACCAATATAATCCTCTTAAACTGATCACAGCTGAATCACAGTTGTAGACAAAGGTAACTTACGTTTTTGCACTTGCTTCAAGGAACAATAAACCTGTTCAGAAACAGAGGTTCAACAATCAGTGCATAATACACTCCAAACAGCCCTAAATCAGCCACATTGCAACCTCCAGATTACATGCAAGACACTGGTTTAGCACTAAACAGTCTTTCATGACTAAGTTAAGGCATCAACACACAAGCTGATTCCTAGAACTAAGCACAACAGAGTTAAGCCAGACTGAGGCACAGCAGAAGTTTGCACATACAATTACATTACTTTTGAAGCATAAGCTTGCAACTACCAATGCGAAGGAGTCACTTTAACATCACTATCCTGTAAGAAATACAACAGCTCAAGAGAACACACACCATTTTCTTCAGCAAATTGTTTGGCTTCTTCATATGTGACATCCCTCTGTGCTTCCAGATCTGCTTTGTTTCCTATGAGGATTATCACCTGGTTCAGAAGAGAGAAAATTAGTCTGGGAAAAAGCTTATGAGCTTTCCACTACCACGCTCATGATTAAGACAAAACCCCAAGAGGAGACATGCAGAAAGCCTTCAGAACACTGCTCGAGCAGTGCCCCCTCCAGAAAGCCTGGAACAGCAGCTCCCGCTGTTGCTTTCTGCTGCTTTAGGTTGTTCTCATGAGATGAAGTCCTAAAAAGCAGCAGTCCTACACTCCTACTGTGTACTGGTGAGAGCTGTGCTCTGAACCACTTCCTGTATTTGTTTAATCATGTGCTAATCCAGCCAGAATCTTTCCAAGTTCTCTTTCATCACAGCAGAGTCTTCCCACAGGCTTGGTGCTGAAATGTTTTAGAGGCATTCGGAAAAAGACTTCAGTGAACAATAGTTGCAACTGTCTGGACAACAGCTTTGTGGTATGGTCAGAGACAGAGAAACCTTCTCCCCCCCATTCTCCAGAAGTCCTCATCAGCTTCTGCCAGAGATCCCATTTCCATTTCAACCTAATGACACAGTATTCACCTCATCACTACCACAAAGCAAGAAGTGGGAACAACGGTTAAGGCTTGTCCCGATTCAATCCCAGTTTTGTCTCCAACTGCTGAGAACAGGCCCCTGAGAGGTGAAAAACACAAGACTTCTAGAAGAAACCAGGGCTTTCCTGCACAGAGGCCCAGCCTTATGCTCTGGGTGCAGTAAGGGGAGAGTCACTGCTACACTGTAAAATGGGACACGAGGGTGACTGAAGCTAAAGTAGCTAAGAGGACACAGGCAGCTTGTTTCAGAGAACCCTGCTACCACTGCAGATGCTTTGGTGCAAGCCCTCAACCTCTTGCTCAGAGAGAAGCAATCTTGTTTTCAAGCCAAGTAAAGCCCAACTTACAGTATTTGGATTGGTGAGGTTCCTTGCATCTGTCAGCCAGCTGCTTAAGTGATTATACGTACTTCTTCTGCAAGGAGTCAAGCGAGAACAGTTTTAGCCTCAGTATCTTTTAACACACTGAAGTGCCAACAGCATAGTCAGCACCCACTGAACACCCTGATGTCTGTCATCCCAATTCTTCCCCCCAGTCTCATGACAAACAAAGCAGCAGCATCCTGTTTGGACCTGCACCATGATTTCGACATGCCAACTACAACCCCCCTGAGCAACTCTGACAGCACAGAGAGACACCAACATGTGCTCCTGCCTTCACAAGGGCAATGTTTGTATTGTTTAGTACAGAACACATAAAAGGATTTCCTGTCAGATACTCTTGCAGAACAGTGTACAGTGAACAGCACTTTGGTAACAAGCAGTGCATAAACTCATATTTTACTCAAGATTTACACAAACAGGAAATACACTGATACAAAGAAGAATACCAAGAGTGGCCTCAGAGGAAGATGTGAGACACATGTAAGTATTTCATGTGGCACATCTAATTAATTATTCTTTTAGCAGCATCTTTACTTTGCACCTATAAAAAGATGGGATGGCTTCTGTACCATCTCATTTTGTTGGAGGAATACACTGTGAAGAGGTGAAGAACTGGACTACTGCAATGCTCTTGTCTCTACACAACCTGTTAAGCACATTCACATAGCCCACTGCAACAGAGGTAATATTCTGTCCTGTGCCTACTCTAACAACATTCCTGCCAGGTAAGCAGCAATACCCATTGCCTCCCAGGAAGAGAAAAACCCATGTACTGAAGAGCAAATTTTAAGGACAATGCCAGTTCTTCAAACAACTTCAGCCCAAGCAGTCAAGGCCCAAGATCCTCAGACCCGTCAGCAGTGAAGCTTTCCAAGAGAAGGAGCTCGCATAATTCCTTACGTTTCATTCTCAGCTCTTTAAATACTTCAAGTATTTAGAAGTGTGTCCTTTACACAACAGGACATAAACCCATCCAGACCGAGTCCTTTAAGTGAAGAGGACAGACAGGACAGCACACATGGCTGTGGTGTCCAAAGAGCTCCTCGGGCACATGCAGAGCCACGGTACGAGACGCGCCAGTCCAAGCACCTCACCTGGTGATGTCGTAGACCATGAGAGCTCCCGCAGCTCCTCTGTAGTAGCTTCGTGTGACAGCCCGGAATCTCTCTTGTCCTGCTGTATCCCAAATCTGTAGTTTAATTTTTTGGCCACTAACTTCAATTATTCTTGTGCCAAATTCAACACCAATTGTGTGGGGACAGTCTGCCATAACTGTCGTGAAAAATAAGAGCAAAGATCAGATCTTTCTAGCACAAGGTCTCCTTGCTACAAAGATACCATCATCACCGGTTCTCAGTTACCTCGACTAGATCTTCAATCTCTAAGGAACGATTTTTACAGCTGCAGTACCCAAACTGTACCACTCCAGAAATAAAATGAAGTATTTCCTGAACTTCTTAAGTTTTACCCATTATGGAAGTCTTGCCTTCCCCGCAGCGCATACACCGGTGCTGTCTGGCCATATCTACCATAAGGTATCAAGTCAGCTGATTCTCAGTCTCTCCTTGCAGGAAAAGTTAACCATTTCAATGCAGTAGAAAAAGATAACTTTTAGGGAATGCCCCAGGTACAGTTAAAAGTCTGTAGGACAGCTTCAAAACCAAATATCCAAGTTGTTCCAGACAGGGTAGTAGCATGACTGTCCACAGGGAAAAGCCAGTTTCCTAAGTAGCTATTAACACAGCAAGTCAAACCCCAGAAGGCATCTTTCTAAATAATAAACTCATCTTTAAGAAAGATGAAGAAATGCAGGATGAGTGCCTATTCAAGCTATCTAGAGTTAGTGACAGCATTGTAGTAGAGGTGTCTGGCTTGTCAGTTTGGTGGTGCTGCTTCAGCCTAAGAACAAGACACACCCTCATCAAGAATTTGACCATAAGCAAAGCAGCATTTAGTCAATTGACTGACAGGGAATTTTAATTAAAAGCAACTGTTTAAAAAGTTCTATTTCTGCTAGAAACCAGAAATAGTGTAAACTGTAGCTCCTACCCACTTACTGTGATATCAAGTGGTACAGCTAAAGACTGACTTAGTACTAATAAATACCTACAGGCTTAGCCTCAGTGTGAGCTACATGGGATGCCAGAGGCAACAGCCACCACAAACAGACATGAAGAATTGAGGCTAGTTCTCAATTAGTGATGACAGCATAGATGAAAAACACTGCAGTTAAATCAGATTGGAGTAAACCTTAAACACCATCACACAGGTCATGAGCCACAGCAGCTACAGAGAATGATAGGGCTACTTAAGTCTACAACAAAGAGTCAGAGGAAAGGGAATCTTCTTTTTGAAGCCATTAACAGCACTAGAACCTCCCTCGCTTGTGTGGAAGCTACACCAGTACTGTCAACATGCACATTTCAGACAGGAAATTTCACTTGGGTCAGAATTCCCCAGAAAACCTGTAGAAAGAGGCACAGTCTTCCCCTCATCACAGGCAGGACTGACTGAAGCAGCAGTTTTGCCTTTAATACATCAACATTTTGTTTCTACATCTGCAGGAGTCGAAATAAAATCTGAGCAAGTACAATGCAAAGGCACACAGATGAAGCCAGACACCACATCAAGCTCATGCACGATGGAAGCAAAGAGGCAGGAAAGAGGGATGAAGCATACCAGCAAGAGTAAGTATGGTGAATTGAAATACTCACACTTCTTTTCTGTAAATTGATGAAGCAAACAGGACTTTCCTACACCCATGTCCCCTGTTACAGAAAGAATAGTTAAGGCTGACACCACATCATTGTTGCAAAAAGCACATTTCCTTCATCCCACACTAGGAATGGTACAGAGACAGGCAGATCCTCCCTTGGGTCTAGCAGGCAGTGCTTGTACCTGGCCTCAGACTCATCAACTCTTGCACTACTTTTGGTAACAGGGTTGCAAGCAAGGGTGGAGCAAACAACTCAAAGACAATTCAATCTGTATTACTGATTTTACAACTGTATTTCACAAGGTTATGAGAAGCAGACCTGTAAGAAACCGAAATGTAAAATACACCTTTTGAGTGCTTGCCATGTTCCCATCTTACTTGTAATTACTAATAAAGACATCAGAAACACTGACAACCAACCAGAACACACCAAGAAATTGCTTCACTTCCACTGATCCACTTGCACAATGCCAACAAGGAGAAAGAGCAAGATCTGTTAAGAACCAAAGCTTGCGGAGGCTGTCACAGCAGCCCAGGTTACAAACCATTCCAAGACTGCAGATCACTTACACCTACATAAGGGCATTAAGAATTAAACAATGAAGAGCAAGACCAGCTCTTCCAGAAGAATAATGCATGCAGTCAAGTCCCTGGCTCTAAACAGCCAAAGAAGGTGTAGCTAAAAGCCTGACAGAGGGTTAAAGCCTGTCTGAAGCAATGGATTCCAATTAGCACTTGTGATGGATTCCAATTAGCACTTGTGTCTTCAGCATAGATTCTAAAACCTTTGAGGCTAATGATGCAGAGGGAAGGTGCTATACAGCAAACCTGAATCAATGACACCCAGTTGTGTTGACTCCCATTCAAGTTTTTCCTTGTTTCAAATTGATTTAGTAATTTTTTTTCCCAAATATAAACTGTATTTTAAGAGAAAGGGACCACATACATATGTTTTTAGGATGCTTTTCTGTAGTGCTATGGAGAGGGCTAAGTGTTCTGGCCCTAACAGGGAAGATGTTCAAGAACACTGAAGTACATTATGTCAAGAACAGGTACTTTGAACGGTAACTCAGCACAGGCACTGGGACTTGCCCCCCTCCCAGGTCATCTGCCACCAACCACACAGCTCCAGCTCCGTGGCATACAAAGGTATTTGCTGTTATATTGTCACCTGCTAAAGCTTTAGAGCAAGCAAGGTGATGCCTGTGAGGGACTGAGGATGGACAATTAACTGAAAGAATCACTCCTATACAGCAAGAAGCAACAGAAGTCACCAGGAGCACAGCCCCAGAGTTGGTAGGAAGGCTGTCATGCATGTACACACCAACATGAACAGGTATGAGCCCAGTGGTACTTACCAATAATGATGTACTTAAAGATGTAGGAATAGTTGTAAGGTGCAGTTGCCATTGTGGCACTAAAACAGAAAACAGAACACATCAGAACTGCTACTTGTTCACCCGACTCAACCCAATTCATCCACTGTAGTTCACATAAGCAAACAAACCCTCCCTTCCCCTTCCCTTTCATTCACAGTTCAGGTTTGGGTACTTCCCCACAGTCACTGAATTAGTCAGCAAGACTCCTGTATCACTAGCTCTGAACCTCTGTCAGTCAGGCCTCTAAGTAGAAACAGGCTCACCAAACACCCAATATATGAACCAAGACCAAAATCTGACTCCAAAAGTAAAATCTGAAGAGGTTTAACAAAACCAGCAATTTGGAACTATTACCTCACACTTCTGAGGCTTGCAAAAGGAGCAAAGGAAAGATGGCAGCTTGCATCAAACAGCTGGAAAGAACGCTGTAGCAGCCTTAGCCAGGCTCTGACTGCTACATGCCCAAGTCAGAGAAGCACAAGCCACAAATCAGATGTTCAGGAAGTTAGTTAACATCTCTGTGGCTTTGTCAGCACAGCAGCTTACAGCAGGGTTTAGCAGGTTCTCTTTTTTAAGCGAGAGTCAAAATTAGATTGGGGTAAGCACTTCCAATATGCCAGAGTCTCCTATGCTTTCCTACATGTAGGAGGAATTAGAGCAGTCTTCAGCTGTGTAAACCTGCAAGGAGCAATAGCTGACTTACCAACTGATACGTCAGTTAACCAGGATTATGAGTCTACACAGGCCAGATCTTGCCAGTTAACATAAAGGATGCAAAACGCCTCCTTTTGTCCCAGGTTAAGTTAAAAGTAGGCACAGTGGGATCAGTTAAGCAAGTGGAAAATTTCTAGTAGGAATTCACCATTTCCTTCCCTGCTCCTGCATGGCTGCTAGCCAGCCCTTAGAAAGCTATGGAAGTTCTTACGAAGAACACTGATTTAGCCTAGAAAGATTTTCAGTCATGTGGCATTCACATGACAAACACAAGCAGTGCTGCAAAGGAATAAACAGCCAGGAAAGCTCACAAGCCTCTAACTTTTGGAAAAGCAAAGTATTGTTTCCACAACCACAATTAATCTGTAATAGTGAACCACAGTCATTGGAAAGGTGACTGGCAACAAACTTCATGGCAGCACACAGCCACCACTGCACAGCAGAGGTTGAAAGCAAAGGCTCTTATCCAGCCCTTGAAGGGGAACCACACCAGCAGGAGGTTGGGACGGGTTCACTGGGTGCCAGGCACTAACCTGCACCTCCAACACACTTGGCTCAGGATATGGAAACTCTCAACTCCTTCTATCCCAAGCAGCATGCAAAGCATCTCTGCCAAGTCCTACATATATGCATACACAAAGAGAGTTCTATAAAACCAAGTTTAACCCAAGATACTAAACAAAAGACAGTTTTGGACCGTAATTCTTGTATATGTTGGCACACACAATTCCACACCACGTGCTGCATAAGTTGCAAGAACAGTGGTGTCAATCAAGCCAATTTTAAAGGAAACTTCTGCCACAGCAGAGGGAAATCTCCCACAGCCACCTCACACCACCTTTGTCATCCTCAGCCTCTGGCAAACCACCACAGAGTGAACAGACCATTTCTTATCACTGTACTGGGTAAGAATTCACATCCCTGGCTGGAAACAGCCTGCGCTTTACCAAGCAAACCAGCAACATGCCTGCCTTCTTGCCTGCAAGATTCCAGAGTTACAGTATCAGCTTCAATATATGCACTGATTATTTTCAACACCAGCAAATAAAGACAAGTAAACTGCTCCATAAAAAGCTCAAAATTAACGCGTCACTGTGGAAACACCCAATTCTTCACATTTTCTGAATCTATCTTCACACAGTATGCTCTTCCTCTTCTCAGCACATCCCAATAGAAGCAACATTCAACCCGAGCATCTTCTGATCCAGTGCATTTGTTCTTAACTTGCCATTTACTAAGTAAAGCTGGAGGATTGTGTTTACAGCTCCTTTCAGCCTGGTTGCGGACAAGGTTAAACTGGAGGACTGCCAGGTATATAAGTGGAAGTACTAAAGAAAAGAGCTTGAAAAGGCCAATTTATGTACAAGTACTTCAGGAGGACAGCATGAACTGCACCAACATGCACGTGGTTTGAAAGCTCTATGGTGTGTTCTGAGGAAGGCAGCATCTAGTAACTTACACTGTCCAAAAGAACCCCAGACAATCAACATCATGAACTCCAAGGCAGGGAACCACTCATATGCCTATGAATGTGTCCTACACAAGCCCAGGTGACCCCCTCTTGCTTCACAAGCTCCTAAGGTGGCTAAGGAATGCTAAGGACTCAGAAATACTCAAAAGTTTCCTGTTCCCATGCACAGGACTTTACAATATTGCTGTATGTAACAAGTGAGGGGAACGTGTCCCACTTCCAAGCTTGCAAATACCATCACTGGGAGGTGTAGACTTTTTGTCTTTTAAGAATGGACAAACTGAGAATTCTGTTCAGGCTACATCACAAATGGAATTTGAAGTCTCTCAACTAGAATCTTCACTGCTAAATATACATCTGTTTGACTGGTTTTGCTTGCTAAGGTATGTCAATTCTCACTCTAACTATGGTATTTCAATATAAAAGAAACTGTCACTGCTTTGCAACATATGCATCGAAATCAGTTTCTGCTTCAGAGTGAGTTAGAAAACCAAATCCTGTGCTTGGCAACAGAAACAGGTGGGAAGGACTAACTTCAAGCCATGTCTCACTGCTAAAACTTCACCCTCATTCTTGCAGTGACATTAGGCCCTTAAAGGAGGTGAGAGATACCACACACAGCCCACTGTGTGCAGCCAGACCTAACACACTGACCAGAGCTTACAGAAACAGCTTACTGATAGCAACACCGACAGAGAAATTAACCTGTATGTGAGTCTAGACCTTCTCTGAAATCCCAGAGTTTCTGGGTTAGTCACTGAGCCTGACAGACACAAGCATTGAAAGCTTGTGGAAACACAGATACTCAGTTTAAATACAGTCTCTGGAGTTAAACTGTAAAATCAAGCAACACTTTAGGATTACATTTATTCCAAGGGTCACATTACAGGAAAGATTCTGAAATACTCCATAAATTATTACTAAAGGTCAGGAATCATTTTTGGAGAGCAGATGTCTTAAAAAAAACCCAACCACAAAATAACAAGCCTTTAGACATTAAAATTCCAATAAGGATTAGCAGGAATTCAAACTGTACTCAGATTCTGGAATAAAACTGATATTCCAGAAGGACTCTGCGCTGAAAGGGAAATGCAAGCTAAACACAGAAGCCATGGTGAGAATTCAGCCTCAGAAACCTGACAATCTCAGCATTTACTGCAGAAGGAAGTCAGACAAGAATAGTGCACAAGAGGATTCAGTAAACACAAAAATATTAGCTACATGTTAATGCAAGGGGCTAATATACACTGATAGCATCACCATCCATAGAAACTGGAGCTCTATTTTCACTTCACAGCCCTCTGTTCCTGGTGCATGAATATGAATAATCCCAATATGGGAGGCTGGGGTTTTCCTCTTGGGAGAGCCAAGAACTGCAGGACCGAGTTGCACATAAATACACATAACTCACCTTTGGCCACTGCTGACATTATACAACATCAAGTTAATCAACCATGAATTTACAGTTAACAGAAAGCAGGAGTCTGGAAGCTCGGTCTACCTGCCATCTTCCAGGAAAGTCCGCCAACTTGGAACAAGTTTTGGCTCCCTTCTCAGACAGAGGTAATGCTTCCCCAGAGCTTAGAGCTGTATTTCAGGGTGGCAACCAGCCAGAGGATTGTACTTCACCATACACAGATTTCTGCCAGTTTCAAAACATGTACAGTTAATTTCTGTACTACAGTTTGGACAGGAAATGTTACAGTGAACAGTGTCACCATAATCCATTTGCCACGTACCAACTTCTCCCTTAGAGGCTTTTTTAATTTATAAAAAGTTAAAGATGACCTCAATGAGATCCCAGTGCACCTACTGCTCCCCTAGTACACCTCAGCACTCATCACCAAGCACTATACAGGTATGTTGACACCTCACTGCAGCCTTATTTCCAGTATGAGCATACATCTATACAGGCTGAGATACGGTCGTTCTCAGCACACTGCTGTAATGTTCTTTATCAGAACCCCCTAACTGTAAATATCACATCCACACCAGCTTTCCTGAGGCCTGTGCAGTTCCTTCCAGCTCAACTCAAGGACACAGTCGACTTTAAGTCTTCACTGGATACTGTTTGCATAGAGAAATGCTCAGCAAGAAGCAGGACTATTATTAGAGGAGACCAGAACCTGTATGCACGGGTTTTGGGAGTTAATACCATCAGGTGGCCAGTTCACAGAAACACCACCTCTGGAAACAGCTACTGGCTTCAGACTGACTGACAGTTACAGGTTCCTCTTAAAAACATCCCACTCTGCAGGAAGAAGACCAGCTTAGTCAGTCGGATGCATTTTGCATTTCATCTGGCCAGGCAGGTGTTCTCTCAGTCATTCCTCAAGGATACGCAACAGGAAAGGATCCCACAGCTGAAGCCCAGGTAATGCCATCACATCATTCCTTTCATAAACTGAATCAACTTTTAAAGAGCTGTTAGCTTTTGCATTTGGAAGAAAATCCTAGTTGTGTACAGGGGGAAGTGGATGCAGCCAAGAACTATTATTTAGAACAGCCTCTAAACCTCAACACACAATTAATAGGTGGCTCTCCTCCTTCCCAGGGCATAATCCTCCTCTTCCCTCCATGTTTATTTAGATGTTAATGAACAGCAAACACTGAGAAGAGATCGATAAGGGGGGGAAGAACTGGGGAGAGGCAGAATTGTTTCAATTCATAATTGCACTATTCCCCTGACAAAGACCTTTGTCAAACACATACAACAATGTGGTCTGACTGGTACCTTAGTAGAGGAGGCTGCTAGAAATACAGTCTAATTGCTTCAGTTGTGGTCTTCCATGAAAAATCACACCATACTGGAAGGTAATAACAGCTTTGTTATCAATGAATACAGCAGA